TATTACACTAGATAGTAACTAGAATGCTTTTCAGCCATAAACCTTGAACAATTAAATTCAATGATTCTCTCTTCTAAACCATCAACGTGTATCTTAGACCCAATTCCAACTAAGCTGTTGAAGGAAGTTTTTCCATTAATTAGCACTTCTTTATTAAATATATGAATATGTTCTTTATTATCAGGCTATGTTCCACAATCCATTCAAAGTAGCAGTGATAAAACCCGCTTCTTAAAAAGCACAACCTCGATCCAGAGGTTTTAGCCAACTATAGACCTATTTATAATCTTCCGTTCCTCTCATAAATTCTTGAGAAAGCAGTCGCAAAACAGCTGTGTGATTACTTAAAAAACAATGATTTATTTGAAGATTTTCAGTCTGGCTTTAGAACACATCATAGCACAGAGACAGCTCTGGTTAAAGTCACAAATTAAATTCTAATAGCCTCAGACAAGGGACTTGTCTCTATTCTTGTTTTGCTCGATCTCAGTGCTGCATTTGATACTATCGACCATGATATCTTATTGCAAAGACTAGAGCACTTAGTTGGCATACAGGGAACTGCTTTAGGCTGGTTTAGGTCCTATCTATCTGAACGCTCTCAGTTTGTACGTGTCAACGATTGAATCTTCCACGCAAACCAAAGTTAGCCATGGAGTGCCACAGGGCTCAGTGCTCGGACCTATTTTGTCACATTTATATGCTTTCCGTTCGGCAATATTATAAGGAATTATTCTGTACATGTTCATTGTTATGCGGATGATACTCAACTATATTTATCAATCAAGCCTGATGAAATTAATCATCTAAATAAAATTCAAGACTGCCTCAAGGACTTAAAAACGTGGATGACCTTAAACTTTTTGATGTTTAACACGACCAAAACTGAAGTTATTTTACTTGGCCTGAAGAATCTACGAAACAAATTATCTAAAGATATACTAACTATGGATGGCATTAATTTGGCCTCTAGTGAGACTGTAAGGAATCTTGGTGTTATATTTGATCAGGATTTATCCTTTAACGCCCACATAAAATCAATTTCAAGGACCGCCTACTTCCATCTACGTAACATTGCAAAAATCAGGCATATCTTGCCTCAAAACGATGCAGAGAAACTAGTCCATGCATTTGTTACTTCAAGGCTGGGATTATGTAACTCCTTTATTATCAGGGTGTACCAAGAAGTCAGTCAAGTCGGCTTCAGCTGATTCAAAATGCTGCAGCTCGTGAACTAACCAGAGTTAGGAAAAGGGACCACATTACTCCTGTTCTGGCTGCCTTACACTGGCTCCCTATAGAACACAGGATAGAATTTAAAATTCTTCTTCTCGCCTACAAAGCCCTTAATGGGCAGGCGCCATCTACCTTAAGAACTCATTATACCCTACTGTCCTACTAGGGCATTGCGTTCCAAGAATGCAGGGTTGTTGGTTGTTCCTAGAGTCTCTAAAAGTACAATGGGAGCCATAGCCTTTTCTTATCAAGCTCCACATTTGTGGAATCAGCTTCCAGTTTGTGTTCGGGCGGCAGACACCCTATCCGTTTTTAAGAGTGCGCTTAAGACCTTCCTTTTTGATAAAGCTTATAGTTAGGGCTGATTAGATTCAGCCCCTAGTTTTGCTGATATAGGCTTAGTTTGTCGGGGGACATCTTACTTCTTCCTTCTCTGTGTCTGTACCTGTCTCTCTCATGTTCCGATTAACCCAGCTTCCCCAAATGTCTTTCTTTTTGGTGTCTATATACGCCGGGATCCGGAGACATGGATGATCCTGCGGTCCTGTGTCCTGGATCGCGAGCCCTGGATCTTGAGTCGTGGCTGTGGTCCTGGATCATAGGTCCTGGATGGATATCCTCATGGATTCATCTTCCTATTATACACACATGCATTTCCAAACATTTGGACTACCTATGTTGTAAATGTATTATCTTTTCAATTTACACACGGCATCTATTGCACGTCTGTCCGTCCTGGGAGAGGGATCACTCCTCTGTTGCTCTCCCTGAGGTTTCTCTCCAATTTTTCCCTTTAAACTGTGGGTTTTCTCCGGAAGTTTTTCCTTGTACGATGTGAGGGTCTAAGGACAGAGGGTGTCGTATTGTCATACTGATATTCTGTACAAATTGTGAAGTCCACTGAGACAAATGTAACATTTGTGATATTGGGCTATATAAATAAACATTGATTGATTGATTGATTGATCACAGAGGGGACCAAGGAGAGCTCGGAGGTTCCCGGTGGTCAGTCTGCCCAGCAGCATCAGACACAGCTGGACTCCCATATTTACGGTGTGTACATGTACTACAGATACTTCACCTCTCTTCTGTTCACAGTCATCTCCATGCTGCACTTTCAGAGAGTCAGTCTGTCCGGATCTGATGTTTGGATCCATGGTTTATAGTTTGTGTCGTTCATGTGATGTTAACAGCTGCTGGAGGACCACATCGTCACCTTTGTGAAGAGCGAGCTGAAGAAGTTTCCAGAAGGCTCTGAGTTCAGATTACTCGAAGCTTAGAGAGTCAGAGTGAGGATGAGGAGGTGTTGGAGGCTGAGGATCGAAAGAGCAGAGGGAGGAGCAGCAGAGAGGCATTTCTGACATCTCACTGCACTTCCTGAGGAGCATGAAGCAGAGGCGCTGGCTGACCTTCTGCAGAGCAGTAAGAGGGTTTCTATAAAGATTGTTGGAGTCGGGGGGGCCTGTTAATTTATTCCGGCAAAATACTCAGACCTACTAATTGACCTAACAGAAGTTATTGAGTCTATGTTTACTGCTGGTTCAGATCCACCAACGTCAGCAAGATCTTCACCTCTATTAACTCCTGAAGAACCAGGTTCAATTAACTGCTGTTTCAATTCAGACAACTCTCTTCAATCTGTTTAAGCGATCCCGAAGGATTTTGATATCAGTAAATGAGGTGTGGCCCTACCTAAGTGTGAGTGTGGCAGGGTGCAATTTTACATTTGAAGCAGGAGAGGAGAGCGCAGATCTCTTTTAAGTTGTCCCCATCCAAAAGGTGGGATCAGTTTATTTGAAAAAACATTGGTCCACACTTGAACAGGGTTTTACCTTCTCTCGTTACAACATGACAATCATATAAAACATCTCATGCTGTGGTCATGTTCTAATCTGAAACCTTAATTCACAGTTTTACATTTATTACCCTAAATGGTAACTTCAACTGCAAAATTCAGTTGTGACATTAAAAATCATCCGACAGAATCCAAAGGTATCTCCTCACGGATCGCCGGTGATATACATTCACACCTATAGCCCGACAGCATTCAGTGGCAGTTCCTCATAAATGGTCAGTGATCATTCCGACAGAACCCAGAGGAATCTCCTCACGGATCGAAGGTGCTATTCATTCACACCTATAGCCTGACAACATTCAGAGGCACCTCCTCAAAAATGGTCAGTAGGATCTAACAGTTTCAAACTTTCATCCAACAATTCACTCAGCATTCAACCAATAGATTCAAGAGATATTTACCAAGTTTGAGAAAACCTTTACAGAGGAAAACCCCAGCTCTCCAGGGAGAGAGCTTTACCGGGAGAGAGCATACCAGGGGAACCCCCCACCCCCTCTCGAGAGTTGTCTCCCTCTTATACAGTGCTTTTATGATGCACAAAAAGACAGAAAACACCCAAAAACACCTCCATGTCCATATTTGTGGAAACTGGGCATGGCCTCTGATGTACAGGCCTGGACATGACCAGAATATTCTATGGCTATGGCGTAAACACCTTTTTGGGGCCTCAGTATATTTCTCCAATAAGTCAGGAGCACCTCCCTGTGCACTGCTGTGGGAAGAACGGTCTACCCTCTCTTATCAGTGACACCTCATAAACCCATTATAGGCCTTAACTCAACTCAACAAACACTTGTGTTTAGTTCATCCTTGTACAATATAGAAAATCCTAAAATATGAAGCAATTTCATTGTGGGTTATACAAGAATATAATTGATTATATTTGATTATAATTAACTTTCGTTTTAAGTATTCAACCTAATATGGAGACCTCAACAAGATTAACACTCTGGATAAATGTCTCATCTGCTGATGTCTCAAGGTTCCAAACATGTATCCATATTTTATTCAGAGAACCAGAGTTTAACAGTGTTTCCAAATTATCTTTTGTTGTGTGTTTCTTTCCAGGAACTCCTGCTGGAATTTGTCAGCGTAAACTTAAATCCACCCTGAAGGAGAGGTTCCAGTGTGTGTTTGAAGGCATTGCTAAAGCAGGAAACCCAACCCTTCTGAACCATATCTACACAGAGCTCTTACATTACAGAGGGGGGGTCTGCAGAGGTCAATGATGAACATGAGGTCAGACAAATTGAAACAGCATCCAGGAACCAGACAGACCAAAACAACCATCAGACAAGAAGACCTCTTTAAAAGCCTCACCTGGAAGAGAATGCACCAATCAGAGCAGTGCTGACAAAGGGAGTGGCTGGCATTGGGAAAACAGTCTTAAACACAGAAGTTCACTCTGGAGACTGGGCTGAAGGCAAAGCCAACCAGGACATCCAGTTCATATTTCCATTCACACTTCAGAGAGCTGAATGTGGTGAGAGAGAACAAGTACAGCTTGGTGGAACTTATTCATCAACTTCTTCTCTGAAACCAGAGACGCAGGAATCTGCATGGTTTAATCAGTTCTCGGTTGGTTCATCTTTGACGGTCTGGATGGACGAGTCGACTTCCTCTGACTCTCAACACTGAGATCCTGACTGATGTCACATGGTCCCACCTCAGTGGATGTGCTTCTGACAAACCTCACAGGGGGAAGCTGCTTCCCTCTGCTCGCTTTTGGATAACCACACGAACTGCAGCAGCCAATCAGATCCCTCCTGAGTGTGTGGACATGGTGAACAGAGGTCCGAGGGTTCACTGACCCCACAGAAGGAGGAGTACTTCAGGAAGAGACTTCAGAGATCAGGAGCAGGCCGGCACCATCATCTCCCACATCAAGACCTCACGAAGCCTCCACATCATGTGCCACATCCCAGTCTTCTGCTGGATCTCTGCTTCAGTTCTGGAGGAGGTGTTGAAAACCAGAGAGGGAGAGCTGCCCAAGACCCTGACTGAGATGTACATCCACTTCCTGGTGGTTCAGTCCAAAGTGAAGAACATCAAGTATGATGGAGGAGCTGAGACGGATCCACACTGGAGTCCAGAGAGCAAGAAGATGATGGAGTCTCTGGGGAAACTGGCTTTTGAGCAGCTGCAGAAAGGCAACCTGATCTTCTATGAGTCCGACCTGACAGAGTGTAGCATCGATATCAGAGCAGCCTCAGTGTACTCAGGAGTGTTCACACAGGTCTTTAGAGAGGAGAGAGGACTGTACCAGGACAAGGTGTTCTGCTTCGTCCATCTGAGCGTTCAGGAGTTTCTGGCTGCTCTTCATGTCCATCTGACCTTCATCACCTCTGGAGTCAACCTGCTGGCAGAAGAACCAACAACCTCCAGGCTGCTAAAGTTCAGACCCAAACCTAAACTACACATCTCTACCAGAGTGCTGTGGACCAGGCCTTACAGAGTCCAAACGGACACCTGGACTTGTTCCTGCGCTTCTTCCTGGTCTTCACTGCAGACCATCAGAAACTCCTACGAGGTCTGCTGACACAGACAGGAAGTGGCCTCAGAGCTCAACCAGGAAAACAGTCCCCCCCGGTACATCAAGAAGAAGATGGAGAGGATCTGTCGCAGAGAGAAGCATCAACCTGTGTCCACTGTCTGAATGAACTGAAGATCGTTCTCTAGTGAAGCAGATCCAACAGTACCTGAGTTCAGGAAGTCTCTCCACAGAGAATCTGTCTCCTGCTCAGTGGTCAGCTCTGGTCTTCATCTTACTGTCATCAGGAGAAGATCTGGACGTGTTTGATCTGAAGAAATACTCTGCTTCAGAGGAGGCTCTTCTGAGGCTGCTGCCAGTGGTCAAAGCCTCCAGGAAAGCTCTGTAAGTACAGAGATCATTTGATTTAGTGAATCAGTTATTAATACACTGCTGTCCTCTGAATAACTGTTGTCCTCATCGTCTCCTCAGGCTGAGTGTCTGTAACCTGTCAGAGAGAAGCTGTGAAGCTCTGTCCTCAGTCCTCAGCTCCCAGTCCTCTAGTCTGAGAGATCTGGACCTGAGTAACAACGACCTGCAGGATTCAGGAGTGAAGAAGCTTTCTGCTGGACTGAAGAGTCCACACTGTGAACTGAAGACTCTCAGGTCAGAGACCAGTACAGTTTGACTCAGCCAGCAATAAAAGTCAATACCAACATCAGCCATGCTGTTGTGGTGTGGGAATACCATAATCAAAAACATAATTTAAGTGAAAGGCGACACAATATATCTGTCACAATTCACAAAGTGGTTATTGGCACAAACTTCTTTAAAGTTAAAAAACATCCCCTCTTGTGCACCACGCACAGATAAATCTCCAAAGGGCTGGGCCCCTCACTAGAGGTGAGGTGTATTGCCTCAAAGATCAATCAAATGTAGGTAAATTAATCTTGATACTTTATTATGCTTTATGAAAAACACAGCCTACATCCAGCTCTCCAGAGGGTTTCATTTACGTTGTTGTCGGCTCATCCGTTAACACAGAACTCTCAGATTGTTTATAATAAGGAGAAATAGGAAGGGTTTGTAAAGCAAATAAGTTAATGGGCTGGGCTAAGATTTGTTAAAAATGTTTTCAACTTTTATTGACTGAATTTATTTGTAAATTGGGCTTATTAACACATATACTTCTGTTTGAGATATATATATCAGGGCTGTCAAGTTAACGCGTTAATAACGTGTTAACGCAAAAAACAATTAACGCCACTAATTATTTTAACGCGATTGACGCATGTGTATTTTTTATCCTGGACCCTCAGATGATCTGACGGCTTGTTTGTGTGTCTGCAGGCTGTCAGGCTGTCTGATCACAGAGGAAGGCTGTGATGCTCTGGTCTCCGCTTTAAACTACTCCCATGTGAGAGAGCTGGACCTGAGCTACAATCATCCAGGAGCCTCAGGGGGGAGGCTGCTGTCTGCTGGACTGGACACGCTCAGGTATGGAGAGGCACTCAGTCTGATAGAGGAGGTAGAAACTGGCTCCTATGACCTGAAACACCCAGAGCTGATAGACCCTGACTCTTCACACTGTCTGCCGTCAGCTGTAAGCATCAAACACAAATGTTCCACAACTGAGAGGAGACCCCCCCCTCAGTGGGTCAATGTTCATCGTGGAACCACCAACAGAAACAGAGTGGGGGGGTTTCAATGTTCACACAGATTTAGCACAGGAAGTGACATCATGAATAAATAAACTGATTCATTTCCAGATGTTTTATTCTGAGTCCTAGCAAACGGCCAATCAGAAGAACCTCGTCTGCAATGAAAATAATGATTTATTAGTTTCAGTGTTGGGAGTAACGTGTTACAGTAATCAGATTACATTTGTCTGTAACGCGTTACTGTTGGTTCAGCAGTAATTACATTAGATAAGAGAAGATAGTACTTTATTGATGCTAAGCACAAAATGATCTCGTGACCTGCGTTACGTTAAGGTCTTTAACTTTCTGCATAACGGGAGGACAGAAAAAGCAGAGTTAAACAGGCGCAGCAAACATCGTGGAGGACATGTTGCCCGTTTCATTACATCCATGGTTTCCACGGTGGAATCACCATCTTTCTAAAAACATATTGAGCCAGAAATATGTAACAGGCGGGCGCCACCTATGGTATCAGATCAGTCTCACAAATAAATAAATGCACACAGAAGGAAACACAAATGTAATTCCGGATTTATATATACATTTCTCCATCCACACACATATTTGAATGCACATACAAAAACGTATCATTTCATAAATGTAAAGGAGTTTCACAAATATATTTCCGATCAAAAACATATTTGACTGTTGTTACATGTATATAAAAATGCTTTCTGTGTGTGAATCTCTGGATTATTGAGAATTTTTTTCAGGAGACGAGTGTCTGCTTCATTTTAAGCCAATCACATGCGTGTGTCCCCTCGAGGGTGTGTTTAATGCGTTTGCAACGTAGCATAACATCTATGCGGTTTGCGGAGACCGGGGGGTGAGAGTCTGGGCCCCTCAAATGCTGAGAGATTCACACAGAAAGCGTTTTTTATATAAATGTAACAACACTCAAATATGTTTTTGATGTAACTATTTGACTGTGGATCAGAAATATATATTTGTGAAACTTTTTTACATTTTTAAAATGATATGTTTTTGTGTGTGCATTGAAAAAGACATTTAACACACGTTGGGGTTTGCGGTCAATTGGAAGAAGAGCAGTCTAATACCTCACCAGCAGGTGGGGTAGCTGGGGATTTTTGCTTGATGCAGCCCCCATCGAGAGCGAGGTGTACGCCCCATCGAGAGCAAGGGGTACGCCCAAGCGGCAAACTGTGGGGTAGAGCAAGCTCCCAGGAAGTGTGCCGGACTCAGATGAAAATATTCGTGGTGGCCAAACGGCGGTACTGCACATCCGTTTGGTTGCCAGGCCCGGAAACACTTTTTCCCATTGACTTACATGGGGAAAGAGTGGTGTGTAAATCGTTGGATACTTTTTTTTAAACTAAATAAACTACCCAGTATGAACACTTCTATAGCCCTTATTAAAACATTCGTTCCTCAAGTTGTAAAAATGTGCTAATAACGTTATTCTGAGAGTTATTTCCCTCTGCATTATGAATGCGCATCTAACCCACGGGACCGCGCCCCCCTGCACGTTCATGTTACGTGTTCAGCACTACATGCCACATGCGTTTATCTTTACCCATGGATGCACAATAACAACGGACCCATATCGCCTTACTGCCAGCCCACGGAGCTGTAATAATGGATATATTGCACATGTTTGCTGTAATTCATCATTTGTAAAATATTATATTACATGGGCTGTATGATTAAATCTTGTACCGTAAATGTTGTATTAAATAAAGTTAATATTACCGACGTTAGATTAACGTCCCTGTAGCTTATTATTGCACTAAGAAGCTTATTGCACTGTGTGTATATATATATATACAGTGCAATAATTATTTCATGCTAAATTAAGCTCTGTTGCTTGGATATCACTAGATCCTAATTTACAACGTAATATAAGTACATAACGATTGATGTGTACATTAGCATCATTACTAGCTAGCCGCTAGCTGCTAACTGCCGCCTCGTTAATATCAAATCCATGATAACAACAATCCATTACCATGCCGTCATGAACGAGCGGAGCTGTTACGTGTACGCAAATTGACGTGTTTGATGTGAACGAGCATTTTGGTTAAAGTTGCGCATGCGCTATGAGCGCACATACGGGTACTTCTCAGGCATGCCGGGTAATCTGTGACGTTTCACTCTCTCAAAAGTTGGGCCATTTTATCATCATAGGCTAATGAGCAACTCTCATAGGAATTAATGAGGCCCCGCCTCCCATGCTGTATCCAGTTCTTATTATACATCCATGGGGTAGAGCCGGGAAGCCAATACGGAAGTGCCACACATTGCAGTTCATATATTGGCCGATAGGCGATGGCTGCAGAAAGGAGCAATGTCCATAGACCCCCATGTTAAAATGCCCAAGTTTACAGCAGAAAAAAAACATGTTTTCTACCCCTGGCTCTGTTGTGGAATATTTTCCAAGGCCCATAACTTTGACCCAGTGTATCAGTTCATACTGTCCTGACTGAGCACAGGCACCTGTAACCTTGGCTGCTGTGCTCTCAGTGTTTTGTCTCCCTGTTCCTGCCTGTTGGCGTCAGCTGATAGAGGTGTTATCATTCTATCTTGTTATGCAGCATGTTGATGATGCTCTCTGAACTAGCTAAATACATGGGTCTGGGGTAGAGTTCTTCAGAATTGACGTGGCAACTCTACCGTGAAGTCAGAACCTCTGACTCTTGGACTTGTGATGTGAATCCTCCGGCCGTTAACTCCAAATAAACCATCATGTGTTTGACATCAAAGCTACTGCTCTTCCCGTGTCTCCTTCCTGAGTCGGTGACTCCCACTGCATAGCTACACAGAAGTTTCCTCTACAGGCTCCATACATTTTTATTATCGATATAGTTAGATTCCACCTTCATGATTATGGATCTGTGAGTGAATTGTTTTCTAACGCGACCCTTTTATTTATATTAGGTCTTAAAGTTTGTGCATAAATTAGGGCGTGGTCACATTGAGTGACGGCTCTGTCAAGTGCCTGCCGCTGTTAGCTTCTTGTCTCTCTGCTAGCTGCTCCGTGAAGCTAGCTACAGGGACTCTGCCTGCTCAGCTCATCCAGGAAACACAACTTGTAGCCGGCCGTGGTTGTTTGTTCTTCATGCTTATATATCGGACTATTGTGACTCGCTCTGCGGTTAAAACAGACGGTGCATGAATGCGGTAAGTGAAATTCGAGTGCTTTATTTATGTGTTAATGATTTTAATCGGCTACGTAATGAATGGTAAGGCTTGGGTTAGCATGTAAGCTAGTGGTAGCTACATCGGTGCTAACGATGCTAATCGTAGCCTCCAAGTTAAAATCATAGACTGTATATATAAAGGTTAAAACGAAATAGACAAGTGTTAAGCGTTAAGTGGGATAATACTGTTGAACAAACGGCTTCTGTTTGAGGTTGATAAAATAAGGTTACATCCTTGTAACTTAGAGATATTGTATTATGTAGGTAGAACTGTATGCATCTAAGGTTAATTTAAATTGGCTATGCTCAAGTATGTAGACAAGCTAATGTCGAAGTAGTGTATGTGAAATCAACCTCACAATAAGATGTGTGTATATTACAATTATTAATGTCATATTTCAAGATGATTACTTAGATATTACAATATGGTTGGTTGAGCTGGAGTTCATTATTGAGCTTACACGTTAATGTCACAGTCATCTGAAGAACGAACCCAAACCTTGTTGTTTTTATTAATTGCATTACCAAATGGGTATCAAATAAACAGTAAGCATTGGTAACACAACTTCCAAAGTTACAGTAAAATAAAAAGGCCCCTGACTCGGACAATACACAATCCAACATGTTCAACAGAAGAGAATCAGTTATATTGTTTGTACACATGGTACTTTACATATATATCTGTTTGTTTAAGGTGTCCAGGTGATGCAGACAGGCTGGACCAGAGAGTGAGAGACTGAACTAGACTCCTCACAGCAGTGAACTTCAGCACAGGTACAAAGACTCTTTTTTTCATACTGTACAAAGAATCAAGAAAGATATTGGTTTAAATGAATGAAGTATTGACTTGAATACACTGATATACATTCCATTAAACAATACTAAATACTAGATCACCTACACATCAGTTAAGTTGAGGGGTTTTTCCATGCAAAAAGTTACATTTAGATATTTAGCAATATGACTTTGTCAGCTTTCTAATTTAATGTATTGAAGGCAAAGATATTTAACACATAGTGAGAACTGCTACTATTTATCTCTCAATATTGTCTGTAAAAAACGTGGTAAAAGTTATCCTTTCAGTGAGACAACAGAGCAAGCTTCTACAGTTGCACTACGTTTTGATAACAGTTCAATATTATTTTGATAATAACATATATTTCAATGTTGATGAGCTTCATACTGTTCATTCATAATCTGATTGTCTTTGTAGCTCACTGTTAAAAAAAAAAAAAATTACAATTACAAAATAATGATATCTACAGCCCCTAAACACACAAACACACCACTTTCATAAATAACACACTTGTTCTGCAATAATATGTTTTATGTTTCCTGTCATTTTTGTTAGGAAAGGACATGCCTGAAAGACAGGACATTTTCTCCTTCTCTGAGGGTCAAGAAGAACATCCAAGAGGAACATTAAAAGCTGATGTTATGAGATTTTAAGACCAGTACAGGACATTCACTAAGAAACTACTTTTATTGTAAAAACAGTCAGCTGATCGAATGCAGCTATTTCCACATCTACACTCCATCAGCTGATTATTTCTATTTGCCTCGCTTTATGAGCTTCACATCACTTGTGCCTTGTACCGCAGAGTTTGCAACGTCACAAATAAATGGGGCCAATCTTCAA